GGTGCCGCCTGCGGAGGCGGCGGCGGCCTCGCCGCCTGCGGCAGCTGCGGCGCCGCCCGCCGCGGCTGCGGCAGCGACCACGGTTTCCTCGCCGTCTATGGCAGCTTCGGCGCCGATCGTTGCGGCGGCAGCGGCGCCGCCATCCGCCCCAGCGGCAGTGTCCAGCGTCCAGCCGCGGAGCGAGTCGCCGGCGCGACGCCACGCGTCGCCGTAACTGTCGCGCAGCTGCGCCAGCTGGCGGCTCATGGCGCCGAGCTGCTCCTCCTCCGCCGCGAGCTGCTCTGGTGGGGCGCGGCCCTCGGACACCTTTCAGAATGAGGGGTGGCGGGTTGGAGAATGTCGGGGCTGCCAGAACTCTGCTGCAAAAATGCATGCATCAAGGAAACACACACACACACGCACACACACACACACATGCGCATAAACACACCAAGACCCTCACCCCTACATGCACGCCCGCTCAGTTGAAGACACGCACGCGCGAGCCCCGCACCCGCGCACCAGCAGCTGCACTCACCCACACAACACACTACCCTGCACACCCAGCCCTCACATCAACATGCTCTCACCCCCCACCTCTCACCCCACCGCAGCACGCCCCGCCATCACCTCCCACCTGCTCCTGCAGCGCCTGCACTGCCACCAGTTGTTTCGTGGTGGCAGCCTCCTGATCCCTCACCCGCGCCCCCAGCCGGCTCAGCTGAGTACCAAAGAGGTCCCATGTCTGCGTCAACGCCGCACGGGTTGTAGGGTTTTGGGGGCTTCGGCCGCGCGGGGCCGTCAATGACGGAAACACCCCAGGGCTGAGGGTGATGGGTACTGGCTGGATTTGGCAGCAGCGCAGGCTGCTGCGACGGTGCTGTTTGGGGTGCCTCAGCAGGCATGGCATGGCCGTCCTGCAGCTTGCGCGCACGCCTTGATGAGGGCAGCCCCCGGCTCCCTCAGTCTCGTTTGCTGAGCACGGCGCACCTGGCCCATTCCGTTGCCATTTGATTCGGCCTCCGTTGCCGCCGCCTCCCCGGCCTGCGCCTCGCCCGCCCCGATCCCCAGGAAGCCGAACAGGCGGCCCGCGGCTTGCTGCTTCTCGGCGGCTTCCGACTCGAGCCCCTGCAGCTGCCGCCGCATGCGCCCCAGCTTCTCGCGTTCCGCCCCCAGCTGGCCCGCTGGCGCCTGCCCCTTTGAGACCTGCCGGCGCGGCGCGGCGCGGGAAGGCGGACGGGCGCGTTGCGTCGGAGGTCGCGGCCGGCTCAGCGCGGCGGGCTGTGGGCTCGGCGGCGGTTTTTGGTTTCAAGCGGCCGGGCGGGCGGGGCGGGCGCTGGCTTCAAAGGAGCGAGCTGAGCTGCGGGCATAGGCGAGCGGCCTCCTATAAAAGGAGCTGTCTCTGGATCTGGCCTTGCTCTGGCGCGTTACGGCTGAGGGTCTGGGGCTGCAGCAGCTGCCACGCGTTGGGTGACTGACCGCAGCGCCCCAGCCCCAGCCGTCGCGCCCCGACCGGCACCCGGCCCCCCCCCCCCC